CCAAAGTCTATACCTTTTAACTCCTTCAGGGTATCCTAATAAAACACATTTCCTAACTCTCGGTTCTAGTTTTCCCTCATTTTGATAAGAAAAAATAGCACAGCCAAAAGTTTTTAACACAGTACAGTCAGCACATTTACCATACCATTTTCCATGTGGAGTATCACCATTTAATGCAGTTGAAGGTGCTAAATTAATCAAATAACACGCAGTCAAAATAGCTTCATCCCTAAAAGATTTAGAAATTCTAGAACTGAACATCATACATCTAACTTTGTCAAGTAAAGTACGATTCATATGTTCAGCCACCCCGTTTTGTTGAGGTGTATAAGGAACAGTTTTATGTCTAGTAATTCCACATTTTTCACACAAATCATCAAAATTATTATTTCAAAATTAGAGGCCATTATCAGTTCTTAGATATTTTATCTTTTTGCCAGTTTGAGTTTCAACTTACAATTTCCATATTTTGAAAATTTTAAAGTTTTCAGTTTTATCCTTTAATAGATAAACCCACACCCTACGAGAATAATCATCAATTACGGATATAAAATATCTATTACCACCAATTGTAAAATTAGTAGCAGGCCCCCATAAATCAGTATGAATATATTCTAAAACTTTAGTAGTTTTGTGCATGCCAGATGAAAAAGATGACCTATGATGCTTACCAAGTATACAGTGATCACAAAAAGGCATATAAGACATATGGTCTTTTCCAAATACACATTTATCATTTAGCAGTTTAATTCCTTTAATACTTATGTGAGTTAATCTATTGTGCCACTTGTGTGTGTCATCGGTGTTGGTCAAATTTATAGAGGAATATGAATTTTTAACAATTTTAGTAGTCGTCACATAAATATCGTTTCTTTTAGTACCTTTACATGTAACAAGAGCACCGTTAATCATTTTAAGCATGTTGTTTCCAATTTTACCAGTAAAGCCATCAATTTCTAATACTCCTACTGAAATAAGGTTCCTAGCCATTTCAGGAATATATCTGACTCCATATAATTTAAGCACATAACCAATCTCAAATTTTAACGTGATATAGCCAATACCAACAATTTTATATGCATGATTATTGCACAGAATAGCATGACCACTTTCAGATTCTTGCATACTTTCAAACCAGTCTTTATGTGATGAAACACGGAATGATACACCAAAATCAAGTATCCATTTATGTAAATGTGATTTCACGGTCAAATTTACTTCAGTCGGTTCAAAGTTTAATAATACATGAACTTCACAAAATTCATCAGAAGAAGTAATAACATTTGCCTCATCGTGGACTTTTTCTTTTTGTTTATTTTTCTCAACTTAAATAAATTGTCCAGTTTTACTGCACCCATAGCATTTTTCTACCTTTAGTTTTACTTTTTGACCTAGATAAATTTCTACTTTTCTTTTTACTACCGGATGCGTATCCACTTTGGTTATCACGGGTCCTAGACTGAGACCTACCTCTCATCATATAAACCTCACCACTTTTTCTCTCGACTCTCGCTCGCATTTCCATTTCTTTACTTCTTAATGAGTACATGACAATTTCGGGTGTTAAAGTATCTCTCTCATATTTTATAGCATTTTTAACTTCTCTATAAGTGTCAATGATAGCATTTAACAAAATAATTGCCCTATATTCTTCAGATACTTTTTCACCATAGTTAGTAATATCTTGCACAAATTTATTAAAGACATCCAAATTGTCATCCAATCTTTTGAAGAGTAGATTTTGAAGCTAAAAAAACTTTCAAGTAGAAAAAGTTTGTTTGGAGTTGACTTAGATACATAAAGTTCATTCAATTTTTCCCAAAGTTCTTGAGCTAATTTTAATTTACCAACTTTTCTTAATACCGCATCAGACAAATGTAAAATTATAGAAGTGTATGCTAATTCATCCATATTATCTTTTTCTTCAGTTGTCAAGTTTGTAGGAAAAGAGACATCAATAGCTTTATAAACTTTTTGTTGCACAAGAATACCTTTTATTTTTTATTGTCAAATTGAAAATTCTCATTTACGATTAAAGACACCCAACTCAAAGTGATGTGTCAACATTTTACTAAATAATGCACACATAGATGACACTTAGTAACAAGATTCCTATAGTTTCACAATAATACGCTATTCTAGAACCCCAGGGTTTCGTGAGAATCAAGTTCTCAGATCAAGGGAAGAACTAGAATAGGAGTCTGGGTACAAGTCTAAAATAATACGAGATTAAACGATGTTCAACAAATTAATCTAAAGACAAATAAATAATTTTACTTAGAAAGTTAAATAGACAATAGCAAGTAATCCTAGGTTTTATCAACAAATGGTTGTCAAGCAATGACAATCTCTAACTCTAATGATCACCCCCACACGATGATCTGCTAGTACGATAATGTAAAGTTTCAGTCAATTTACTAGAGCGGACTTGTCTGAGTCCATAAACTACAAGAGGTGTGAATTTACTACTTTAGGACCGCAATTTTGGCTTAAAGTAATTCAGTAAATATATGGCAATTTTAACCGTCTATCCATCAAGGGCAAAATCGTCCAACTTTTTATGTGTAACCTGAAATAGAAAATAAACTATATCAATGCGTTCAGGGGATCAAAATAAGTAAACTGTCATAAAGAAGTTCGTCGGAGAAAGTCTCCACGCGTCGTCACGCGCCACCGCTGTAGCGAGAATCTTACGCCACACACCCAGAATCATCTCCACCTGCACGTCTCAACTCCGGTCTCTATTTCACTAATAAACTTCTGGATCGTCGGGAATTGTGTTTGTAAGTCTGGTTTTTACTGCAAAATTTGGATAGTTCGTTTTCTGCCAATTTCTATAGGTTTTTGGTCGGATTTTGGTCGGATTTTCACCACCACCTCGCTCTGATACCAATTGTTAAGCAAATCCACCTACAAATCGAACCAATCAATTAATTAGTGAAGGATATGCAAAGAATAAATTAAAGAAAATCAAGGACCAAAATCACAAAATTGAAGAACGATTTTTCCCCTTCTAGATTAGGCTCAGAATCTTGATCCACACCGCAAAGACATTTCCAATTTGAAGGTCGTTTTTAGTCACAAAAACAGATTCACAAAGTCACAAAAACAGATTCACAAAGAAGGAAGAGGAGATTTCGATTTTGCACAAAGCAGAGAGAGTTTTTCTTGTTCATGGGTGGTGTATAAATGAAGAAGAAAGACTCCAATTTATAGGCTTCACACAGGAACGATTTTCCCAAAAATCTTGCAAGATTAAGTTAAATCAAAACTGCAAGATTAAGCTAACTGAAAGATAGAGCTCAACCAAGACGAGATAAAATGGTTGGAAAAGATAACGATTATGCTTATCTATCTTTCACGTGATTTTCAAATTACCTCCAAGTTGAATATTGAGCACCTAGCCCAATGGCCTGATTACCTCTAAATACCCACATAATTGGGCTACTTCAATTGTGTTGTGAATTTTATTCTGCAATCCTCGGCTTATAGCCTATAAAGTTAAAGGAACCTCGATTTTTCATCATTGTCTAGGAGATTTGGGCATCACTCACCAAAATGCCCAACATAACTTAACAGGAATGCATTTGTCAATTAATACTTACTTATATTTTACGCATTTTTCTTTCTTCCTTACATTGGAACGAGTAAAAAAAATCTTGCATTAACATACTCCAACTTGTCCATGTTCTCATGATGAAGTGTTTAGTTTTTATACTTCAGGTTGTCATTTAAAAAACCATTCATAACTTGTCACGAATCTGAAATATGATAAAGAAAATGTTGATTTACTATATTATAAGCAACTTGTCAACGTGTTGCTCATGATTTCAATATCCAATGAAAATTTCACAAATAAAGAGCATATCTCATTTGTAACACATTCACTCTCATTTCTCTGCATCCAAATATTACAAAAAGAGTGCAAGAATGGCTCTCTCTTTCAAATATCTATCAGAAATTGTGGAAAGCCAAGATTTATTGCCCGATCTTGATCGAGAACGAAGAAAGGGAAGATTTCGGTGGAAAGGGCCTCACTTTTCAGCCTTCATCCGTTATGTGATAACGCTGCCTTCCAACCATGGGCTTGCCCGCACTGGACTTTTGGTCCAAGCCCATATTCAATCCAATTTTTTTTATTTATTTATTTTTTGTTTTTTTGCGCTTAAAGTATTGGGTTTTTCATTTATTTATAGTCCAAACCATACACTAATTTACCCCAACTCCAAGTACATTGTGACATTTTCTTACTCTTTCCCCTCGGCAAGAAATTAATTTTTTTTTTTAAGCTGCCCTCGTTTCGAAATATTTTCAAAGTTCATTTCTTTTCTAAAACCCACATTTTCTTGGCCCTCAAATTTGCAACCAAAACTTTCTTGATCATGTGATTTTTCTGTTTAATATTAGAAATTTTGATTATGTGAATGTTGAATATTGGTAATATTTGTGATGGATTCTTGAAATCTTGATTTTTGTCAATTAGTTAAACAATTAGTGATGATTTTATGGTGTTCTACCAATTTGTAAAAATTAGTAGTTATTTTCTTATCAACTAGTATTTAATTGTCACTTGTAATTTATTTTAGTGTGAAGTGCCAATGAAAAGATTCTTTAAAAAAAAATATTTCGTAGAAAATATTGATGTAGAGATATCGAATAAAATGGATTTTGATGTTGCACAATTTGCTACAAATCCCAGAATTAGGAAGAAGATGATCATCTTATTAGTGTTGACGCTATATCATTGTTAACAATGTCGTAATATCATTGAATCTATAATCGAAAAGTTCGACCTTGATTAAATTTTGCCCGTGCTGGACAAAATTCTTGGTTCCGCCCCTGCTTCCAACTACTACAATCTTGGCAGTTTCAGTGATCTATTGAGGGGGGTTGGGAAATCAGCATATCGTTGCTATAAAAATAAAAATCATTCACATCGGTGGCTCTTCACCCTAAAATTTTCAGAAGTTATGGACTCTTTCTTGTCGAAGCTTAGGGAGTTCTTTGCAGTTCCAAAGCCACGGCAATATTTATCTGACAGCATTTCGCAGTGGCGAATTTAAGGGTTAACCAGCTAGGGTGGCCGAGCTAGATTCGCCTGAGAGAATTTTTTTTTTTTTTTTTTTTTATAATAGATAAAAATTTTAGGTTATATAACTAATTGTTCATTTTATTTTCAAACCCCTCTTTTGCTTAATTGGTTAGAGCTTGCATTTTTACATTACAAATCTTGGGTTCGATTCCTTCTCGTCCATTTCATTGTGCAAAATTTTTATTTCTATAATATTTATCAAAATTAATTCTCTAAGGAAATGATTCGAACCTATAACTTCTAATTTGGATGATTGAAAGCTTAACCATCATGGCAATGGTTGAATTTTGAACCTAAATTTAACAAAATAATATATGTTAACACTCTAGGCGAGTCCATGACTATTTTTTTTAATTTTTTTTTGTTGGTTTTTGTCGTTTCAAATATTCTATACTTTAATAATTTATAAAATATGACTTATGAGTATCGAGTTTTAATTTATATGTTATTTGAGAATTGGTCTGCTATAAATTGTGATATTAAAAACTAATTTGAGTATCGTGAATGTGAATATGTGATTTATGAAAATCAAAAATGAGAAATTGGGGAATTTATAATTTGTGATGAATTGGTGTTGAAAATTGGAATTGAAACTTTAATTATATTTTAAAATTAATTTTAATTACATTTAATTTTTGATTAACATTCAATTCTCATAATGATTATGGAATGATTTTTTCAACTGAATCTCAATCTAGTTCTTGTAGTGGTGTATCTAATCTTTCAACTGCTTTTAGTCAAGTAAACGATTTATTAAGTATTGATAACACAAATAAATTTTATGTATTATGTAATTTATATTATTTCGGATTGTATTGAAATATAGGAGGTGTTTGAGCAAAATTATTTTGGTAATAATGCATTTTGAATAGTGTATTGATGGAAAATGTGTGGTTAAAAAATAAGGAAATTTTTTTTATCTGCGTGTAATATTATTTTATTGAAGAATGTGTGGTTGAAATAATATCAAATCACTGTTGAAAAATATATTTTTTTGGAATAATGTGGCTCAAGCAGGCCCATAATATGATATAAATATACGATTTTTATGTTTTAGCGTATTTACATATAGATCGAAGAATTTTTAATATTATTTTATTTAATATTAATAAACGATATCGCTATATAAACGTTAACTATCGACGGTCAACGGCCAACGATTAACGATCGCCCTAGCTGAGTCGAAGTCCTAGAGTCGCCCCTGGCACTCCGAAGACAAATGAACTTGTAGCAAGCTTTACTGATTTTCTGATTGAAGCTGTAGAAGAATTTCTGGGTCAGACATTTATCACGATTCATTACTGTCCGAATCAATAATCTTTTGAAGGACCTCAAGTTTCTGCTCTTCATTCATGGAGATACACCATTGCGATGCAGTGAACTAGAAGAAACCAAGAATATAATGGCAGAAATCGAATCAATAGCCAACGAGGCAGGAATTTTCTTGCATTCCTTCTTCTTCGCCACAGATCTTGTCAGGGATTGGAAAATAGCTGAAGCGCTTTCTGTTTTGTTACCAAAGTTTAAGATGATGCAAGAAAAGATAAAAAAGCACTGTATCACTGTCTCAAACCTGCCAAGTGTTACAACTCCAAACACTGCTTTGGTTTCAATATTTATTGTTGATTCTGTCCTTGATTATCTCAATCATCTAATAAATAGCAGGGACCGTCTCATTGTTGATGTGAAGGATCAAATTACAACACTCCATGAGGAACTACATTTCTCCAGATCCTTCCTTAGTGACAGCGAGGTGCAGCAAGATAGAGAATTGATTGAATGTGTAAAGCAACTCAGAGACCTGGCATATGAAACTGACTATATCATTAACTGGTATGTGGCTGGAGAGGTTTTTGATTGGTACCTCGCTCTCAGGTTCTCTAATTTCATCCAGAAGAATAAACTCATCAGGAATGCACTCCCAGAAATCAAGCTGAATCATGGCATTCATGACCTAGAAGTTGGAGAAAGTCCCCGTGAAGTATCATCCCAAGTTACTAAAAGCATTCCGATAGTTGATGATATTATAGTGGGTTTGAAGGATGAGAAAATGAATATTCAAAGACAGCTTCTTAGAGGACCAGACCACCGACAAATAATTTTCATCACTGGGATGCCTGGACTTGGTAAGACTACGTTAGCTAAGAAATTGTACAATGATTCCTCTGTTTTCAACCATTTCGATAAGTGTCTTTGGTGTGTTGTTTCTCAAACATATCAAAGGAAAAGGCTACTGATTGACCTTTTGTGTTCCATGACTAACCTTAACGAAGACAATTACAAGAACATGGAAGATGATAAGTTGGGGGAAATTCTTTACAAAAGTTTGAAGGAGAGAAGATACTTCATTGTTATGGATGATATTTGGAAAGTAGAAGCATGGGATGATTTGAAAATGTACATTCCAAAAGACAAAACTAGAAGCAGAAAACTATTCACCAGTCGGAACAAACATGTGGCTTTGCAAGTATCATCTGAGGGCATCATTAATGAACTTCCTTTCCTATCGGTAGATGAGTGCTGGGATTTATTACAGCAGAAGGTTTTCCGGAAAGCTCTTTGCCCTCCAGAACTCCAAGACGTGGGAAGCAAATTGCAACAAGTTGCAAGGGGCTACCGCTTGCAGTCACTGTGATAGCTGCAGTTCTTGAAAATATGGAGAAGAAAGAAAGCTTCTGGCTAGAAGTTTTAGCCAGTTTAAGTTCGTACGTTCTCAAAGGCCAGGACATATTGGAACTTAGTTACAAGCATTTACCAATTTATCTAAAACCATGGTTCCTTTACTTTAGTGCATTTGAGGAAGACAGGGAAATTCCAGTTAAGAAGTTGTTATCACTATGGGTTTCTAAAGGTTTTATACGACAAAACAAGGATAAGAGATCAGAGGATGTTGCAGAGGAATACCTAATTGAGTTAATTGACAGGAACATGGTCCAAGTTGCCAAAAGAAGACATGACAATGGAGTCAAAACTTGTACTGTCCATGATCTAATCCATGATATGTGCTTGAGAATAGCTAGGGAAGAAAACTTTCTCAAGGTGATCGAAGAGTAAGTCAATTCTCTCACTCCTTCCATTTCCTTTTCCTTTCGATTTTAAATTCCGTTTCTTCTCACTGATAAGTGGTGATAATTTTGTGGTCATGTCAATGGTTGCTGCTGCTGATGATGGTTGATGTGGTGTTGCTGTTACTGTTTCGCGCGGGTTAGTCGCTAAAAATTAAAAGGGATCAGACGATTGTGTAAGGGACAAACCTCTTGAGACAAAGTTCCAAAAAGGGGTGTTCTTTTATTGGCGATAAACTTTACAATTGGAAATTAAAAACAAAATGCCTCCAAGGGGCGCAAGCACACGAGTTACTGAAAAAAGTGTTAAGTCTAAGCTAAGGAAATTAAAATTACATGTTCTCTGTTTGAGAGTTTTTGATTCGGTCATTTGCTCTATGTCTTTTCTTCCTTTTATACTCCATGGATGATCTCTTTGTGATCAACCATCTAAAAACTGCTTGATTGTTCTACAACTGCCCACTTTCCTCGTAATGGCCAGCTTGTCATAAAAACTGCTGTCATTACTCTTCGTCGTTCAACCGTTTTCGATTGAATTCCTTGAATCGTGGAACGTGATAGGGTTACTTTAATAACTGCTTTGATAACCGCACTTCTTGATAACCACAACGCTTTATGTTTGCTAAGACCTTGGGCGACTTGAAGGTTTGGGCGAGAATAGAGTAACAGCTCTGGGCGACTGTATGGCACTCCATTCGCTCAGATTCTGGGCGACTTGCAAACTTGAGCGATGGCGTTACCGCGTTCTTGGGCCTCCCTATTTGGGCCTTCATCTTGAATTGTTTGATTGGACTTCGTTCCTTGGGCTATTTGATTTGGGGATCCTCCAATTGGGCTTCATTCCTTGGGCCGTTCGATTTGGGCTGAATTTTTATGTGTCAACAATTACCCCCCAATATGGCAGAATTAATAATAATTATTAAATTTTGTCATATTCCCTTTGTGTTTCCAGCAACATTCGAAATTTCCAAGAATTTCAATCATTGTTTTCTTCCATAACTTGAAAAGGTGCGTCGTTTTGCAAACCCTTATAACCCCCAAACACGCCATTTCACTGCACCATTAAATCACACCTCAATTTTTAGTGTCTCTCCCATGATTTACTGTTCATCTTTTGCTTCCCTACTACGTAACTCTGAAAAAACTTCGTTCCATCTCAAATGGCTACTTCACAATCTCAAGCTGGCGACTCCTTTAGTTTTGATGACTTTCAGAAACTTCTGAGTCGTTCATACATAACTTCGAGTTTTCTCGCGCCTGTTGATGTCGAACGCAATGAGTTCTACTTAGGTCCTTTCTTCAACAATGCAGAGGCGGTCGAACAGGCGGCGGCAGGCCAGCTGTTTCCTTATACTCAAGGCCCTCCATTTCTAAACTCTCTGTCGTTGGGGCCACTTCACGAAAGAGGTATTCGCACTTGGCCTAAATCTAATATAGCTTTCCATAGGTGACATGCTCGTCCTGTGGGCCATGGTCCTACTAAGACACTTTTTGATAATGCTAGAATTTCTGATTTGTTAGAAATCTCTATTCGCCTCCCTACTTTTGATTCAGCACTTTTTTCGATTGCTTTGAGTTTTTGGTCTTCCGAGTATAATACCTTTATTTTCCCTCTTGGCCCCATGTCTATTACTTTAAGGGATGTTGGGGTCCTAGTGAATCTACCACCTTTGGGCGATACCATTTTTCCTGATATCTTGGTTTCTGGTGGCGCCCCAAAGTTTGATAAAAACTACACCGAGTCTTATTCAAGCCTGCAAACCCTTCGCAATCATTCAAGCGCTGAGCCTTCCTATACTGAGTGAATGGTTTTTCTTCTAGTTTGGCTTTGTAAATACGTTTTGTGTGTGCCAAGTATAAAGCCCTCCCAGAGTTATTTACCCATAGCGCATGAATTGGCGCGTAGCAGGCCTTTGAATTTATGTTCTTTCTTTTTAGCTGCCCTTTATAGAGGCATGGCCTCTCTTCAAACTCAATTGAAGAATGGTGCATCTCCCATTGGTAGTGGACCTCTTTAGTTCACTCAACTGTGGTTGAGATCCTATTTTCCATTGCTTGGTCCTCAATCAATTTCTCGTTCCTCTGCTAGCTGCTATGGGCTAGCCATTGAGCCCTTCGCTCCTGTAAATATGTCCAGAAGGGACATTTTTTCATTCTTTTATTCTTTGGATTCAATCTCTTCCTTTTTTCCTTTTCCTCCTTTTTTGACTCCAAACTATGTACATCCCCCCTCCACTATAGACAGCGCGAGCACCTCTCTGCTCATTTAGATCCAGTTTTTAACCGGGAGGGAGCTATTTCATGATATTTTAACTGGAACCAATGCCAAGGCAGGGGTAGAAATTTATGCTCCCCAATTTTTTGCTCGCCAACTTAGTTTCGACCAAACTTGATCTGTTCCTCCTTGCTATTCAAGGAACTTGATTAACCGTTTTCATATTATTAATAAGGTGGAGGCAGAGGCTATAAATGCTTGCAATCTTCTTTTAACCAGCTATTTTTTATTAGCCCCCTTCAATTCTAACCACGCCATTCATCCTCTTTTTGAACAGCTCTGGCCGTCAGTGAAGAGCAGATTGTTTGCGACTGATGCCAATCATGCCTTTCATTCACTAGACCAGCCGAGCATTTCTTCCCCTCCTCCTGTTTTAGTCACTCCTTTGTCCATCCGAAGTCCTTCTTACTTTTTTCTAATGCTTCCTCATCAGTTACCCAACCTGTGGGAGGGGGCATTATTCTTGGAGGTGGTCCATACTTTTCAGAGCAAGGCACTCTCTTCTTCCTTTTGGGTGTCCCATACAGTACGTAGAAATCAAAAGGATGCCCAGACGGTTCTCCCAACAAGTCTACTTCGCGAATCCCCTCTCGATATAGTTGCTTCAACAGAGTATTGCGCAATATTCCTCTCTTTCTTCCTTCTGCTACTAGGTCGATTTCTTCTTCAATGTCTGTCATCCCGTCGTCTTTTCATCGTTGTAGGCCTTCTTCACATTCCAGCACGCAAGCCTCTCCTTCGTTGTCCTCCCTTTATTCTTCTTTTTTTTCTTTATTCTTGAATTCATTGGCCAGTAAGTAATTATTGGCCACGATAGGAGGTAACGTACCGAACTGGATAGTAAGGGGCTGATCTGGATCTTCTCCATCCCTTCTGTCCCGCTCAAACTTTGATCTCCCAGAAAAAGTTTCTGGCAGTTCCTTCATTGATTCATCTGTACCGGTCTCTTCACTATCTTTGAGGACATTTTGATTGGCTACCTTGAGTAGTTTAGGCGCTTTAGAATGTGGCACTCCCTGTTGCTGCCTCATCATTCGTCCATAATTTCGTTGGAAACGCCTTTGTTAGGTTCTAGTCATCTCATCGAAGGGTATTGCCCTTCCTGCATTATACTGGAATGAATGCCATACATTTGGCCGGCGAGGTTGCGGCCTGTTCTTCCATTATCTGTTGGCCTGAACTGCCTCTCAAAAGGCGGTCCTCTATAGAATGATGTACCTCGCCCTCTACCAGGCTGAGTGTTTGGGAAGAAAGTAGGGTGATGAGGATGCTGCCATGTCCTTGATTTCTCCGTGTTTCCATTCACTTCTCTTTTACACCTTGCATATAGGACGTCTTCGTCCTTTTTTGGTTCTTTTCCCTTGATTCGTTCAAAGACGCTGGGATGTGGTCTAGGATCCTCTTCTCCATCATCTACGACCAACTTGAATTTTGGCAACTTGTTTTTGAA